GGCCTTCACCTTCATCCCCCCTAGTGTAGCAACAGAGCATAAGTAGCAAAAGTAAATAGCACTTAAAGATATTGTCATTACATACAAATGCCAGATTACACACCTGTYAGTAATCTCATGATCATAATGTGCATATATCAGCTCACACCTCCACATCCTCCCAACTTTATGCCATCCTATGAAAGGATAATATTTTATCATTTCAACAGTATATGATCTAATATAGGACAGAAACCATGAATTCATCAGAGGTTTAAGCATAGAAAGGTAAATTAAGGAAARAATAGAAAACAGAAAGAGCAGCAGGCCCATACCAGAAAGAGACAGGAACATAATTATGGTAGCAAAAGAAACCCATAACTATGATGATACCTCAAATACCGATGGGAACCCTATCATACATGCTTTATTTTGTTATTCACTGGCCTTACTGAGAGACTGCTCTGTCTTTTCAACATATACTGTTCAATTTACACATTTGGACCCTTTACCTAAGTTAAACATAATCGAAGTTACTAAAAAAATGGCATACAACACATGTACCTGGACACCTGAAACAAGTGAACCTGCAAGTACACCAGCAAGAGATTCCACTCCAAATAAGGTTCCCGCAACTAGAGGTGTGATCATAACTAAAGCACCAGGAGGGATAATCTCTTTTAGTGAAACATCTGTTGAAATCTTGACATATTCCAGGACTGTCCCAAACAGATAAAGACCAGAAGCTAAAATTCCAAAGAGATTGTAGCATTTTTCCTGTTAACTTTGCTGTCAGTTTGGGCATAAAACATAGTTTTAAGTATGTTGGAGCCAGCAGATATATATTACCTGAGGAATTGTTTTTAACAGCTTTGAAGCCAAAAAGAAGATGAGRTTGTAGCATTTTTTGGGTGGTTAGTTTGTTGTAAACAGACCCTTAGTGTATGTTTTCTTGGCCTTAAAATTGTGATATTTCCATGTGCAGACTCAATGGAAAAAACTAATACTGGACAGGTAAAGTTCACCAGCTGATGGTTGTGAAAGATTTCAAGGAGCAGGTAAGGGTTCACCTGCTGACATTAAGTAACTTCTCTTTGATAGAATCTTGGAATATTTCCAATTTGATGATTTCAAATATGGCCAGCCATCACATATAACTTAATAGCTCTTAATGTTTGCATGCTAATGATCGGTCTTTTTTGCCCAGTTTCTTATGCTAATAATTGATCGAGAATACTACTTGATACTGCCCTAAAATAACTTATATCGTGAATAAGTAGTTCATATAACTCATGCATAAGTCATTTCTTCACGAATTTTAGTTATGTTCATGTCCTAC